GAGTTTTGACATAATAACTATATTGATGTACGACTTTCATATTCAAAGACGACATTGATAAAATTTTTAGTAGTGCTATATTTACTATTCATTTCTACTATTATATTATATGTATCATCTTCTTAATAAAAGTAGAATCCGTCAATGTGTGTGAGTTTTTTCTCTATTAGAAAGATAATAGGCTAAATAGCCAAAAAGGTCTTTGAGATTTGCATAATTCATCACCTTGGTCCCTAACATTTCAAAACGATAAAGGTGGTCCCTGAGATTGTCCACCATCCATCATTTTGGTCATTCCGTTAAAAACTCTATTAAGTGTCCCGGAGCTCTTGGCCGGAAGTTTGAGCAATTTTCAAAACTTTGTAACTCAACCATTTCTTAACCAAATTCGACCCATATTATATCAAAATAAAGATAGGAAAGTGTAGAATAAGATTATACCTATTTAAAAGCCCAATGGTTGCCGGAGATGGCCTAAAAAGAGCCTCAAAGTTGACTGTTCCGAGGGAAAATTGGACAACTCGCCGGAAACTGGGTAAAATTTAAACGTTCATAACTTCTTCAATACTCAAGGAAATCAAGTGATTCAAAAATGAAAATCATAGTTCTCGACAAGATGAAGAGAATGATACCTTTTAAGACGCTAAATCATTGTGGTTTGGCCGGAAAAATGCTTGAAAGTGGCTAACTCGAGACCAAGACAGCCACTTTTGAGCTGCTTTTCGGCCAAAACATGGCGAGTTAGCCATCTAAAAAGGTACTATTCTCTTTGCCTCGTCGAGAACTATGATTTTCGTTTTTGAATTACTTGATTTCGTTGATTATTGAAGAAGTTATGAACGTTTAAAGTTTACCCAGTTTCCGGCGAATTTTCAAGTTTTTTCTCGGACCAGTCAACTTTGAGGCTATTTTCTGGCAATCTCTGGCAACCCTTGGGCTTCCAAATAATATAATCTTATCTTACACTTTCCTATCTTCATTTATATATATTATGGGTCGAATTTGGTTAAAAAATGATTGAGTTACGAAGTTTTGAAAATTGCCCAAACTTCTGACCAAGAGCTCTGGGACACTTAACGGAGTTTTTAACGGAAGGACCAAATTGATGGATGGTGGACAATCTTAAGGACCACTTTTATCATTTTGAAATGTTAGGGACTAAAGTGATGAGTTATACAAATTTCAGAGACCATTTTGGCTATTTAGCCAAGATAATATAAATGATGTTAGATGAAAATAATAGCATTGGGTCCAATTGACCAATATGAGCAACAAAAGTAATACTCTTATGTTGTAAAGAGTGGGTATGTTTGCTCACATGTATACAGTAAAGATTCATATGCTAAATAATGAAGTTTTTGTAAGTTTTCAAGGTAGTTGCTCTATAAATAGAGCACTACAAGTATTCAAAACACATGGATACAAAAGCAATAAGAGAAGAAAGATAAGTTATAATATTTTCTACATTCTCCTATTTCATTTTTACCTGCAATCATTTTGTTATAGTTAATAAACAAAATAGTGTGATATATTACACCCACTTCTCCTCGCTCTTAGCAAATGTTATTTCTCTAACTTTTGCCTTACCTTACTATTCGCACCATGCCTGCTTTTAGTTCTCAACATAACAGTTACTTATATCTTTGATTTCTTGTTTGGCGCAGTTCCTAATTTCTAACCCAATGTTTATTTATCTTTGCTGCAATCAAAGATGGTGCGGTATCATCGCCTATTTTGGACTGCAAATTTAATTTTACTGCAAATTTTAGGTGGAGTGGTATAATCGCCCACCCTACCTTGCATATTTAAATTTTCCTGCTATTTAATTTTATTGCAATTTTAGATGGTGTGGTATAATCACCCACCTTGCTCTGCATATTTTAATTTCTACTACTTGAGTTGTGCGGAATAATTGCCTATCATATGCTATTCAATGAGAATGGTGCTATACAATCGCCCTCCTCATTCATCATGTAAATCTCGAGCTTGAAGTTTCGAATGCTTATCATTTTGGCCTGAAGATCAAAATGAAAAATTTGTAAGAATCAGAAGTTGTAACAATATATTCCTCCAGAATACACATTGTTGCAAGTTCTTACACACCTCATTTTTCTTTCAGAAAAGAAAATGGCGAACTTGGCAAAACTTGATTTTGTTGCCCTGGATATTACTGGGAAGAATTACCTTACATGGGTAATGGATGCCAAGATTCATCTGGAGACAGCGAATCTTGAAGAAACTATTAAGGAGGATAATAATGCATCCTCTCAAGATTGGGCAAATGCCATGATCTTTATCCGTCACCACCTTGATGAGGGACTGAAGAGTGAGTACCTCATGGTTGAAGATCCACTGACCCTCTATAAGGCATTGAAAAATAGATACAATCACCAGAAAATGATGATTCTTCCAAGGGCTCGTTATGAGTGGACTTACCCAAGGATCTAGGATTTTAAGACGGTGGATGAGTACAATTCTGCTATGTTCAAAATTACCTCCCAGTTGAAGCTCTGTGGAGAACCCATTACTGAGGAAGACATGTTGGAAAAGACTTTCAGCACTTTTCATGCCTTCAACGTGCTTCTGCAGCAACAATATAGAGAGCGAGGTTTTTCTCAGTACAACCAGTTGATATCTATGCTCCTTGTAGCTGAGCAAAACAATGAGCTTCTGATGAAGAATCATCAGTCCCGCCCTATTGGATCAGCACAATTCCCAGAAGTGAATGTTGTTTCCCTTGAAAGGAATACCACATCTTATGATAATAATTACAAACGAGGACGTGGCCACAAGCAAGGCCGAAAGGGCAAAAACCATGATGTCCAGTTAACCAGGTTCCAAGGCATAATACAGGCCCAAGCTTTTAACAAGCAAATTGCCAGAAAGGCAAAGCTCATATGAACACTCATAGAAATCCTGAAGGAGTTTGCCATATGTGTGGTGGCAATGGGCACTAGGCACGTACCCCAAAACATCTGGTGGATCTGTATCAAGCCTCCCTCAAGGAGAAGGGTGTTGAGACCAAGTTCCTCGACCAGGCTAAACAGATGGATATATCTGATCCAGTGTTCGATTTATCAGGACAATTAAACACAACCCACCTGGATGTTTCAGACTTCATTATTAAAAGAGGGAATGAAGTGTTTGGGTCCGATTAAATCATTTATGTTTGATGTACTATTGTTATTTGCACTTGTGATTTAATGTTTGCACTTTCAATTCAATAAAAGTAGTATTCTAGTATGAATAAACTACTTTTAACTGTAATTTCCATTACTCAGAGAGCATGTATAAAAATTATGGTTATTCTCAAAACAAGAGCAATGGTAGAGATTTTTGTGTTGCAGACAACGCAACTATGCATACAGTACTTCGAGATCGAAAGTATTTCTCGAACTTGATACTTGCAAAAGTAAAGATAACAACAATATCAAGGCAATCAGATGTAATTGAAGACTCAGGAAAAGCCCAGATCATGTTACCAAGTGGAACAATATTGTTCATACAAAATGCGTTGTACGCTACTCGATCCACTTGAAATTTGTTGAGTTTTAAAAATATACGTCTAAATGGATACCACATTGAAACAAAAAGTGCATAAAATGTGGAATATCTATGCATTACCTCCAATGATACCCAGAAGCATATATTGGAGAAGTTGCGTGGTTTATCAAGTGGATTGTATTATACATACATAAAGACAATTGAGGCATATACTGTCATGAACCAGGATCTACCATGATGCGTAAAATCATTACTAACTCTGTGGACATCCATTATTGAGCAGACACATTGATGTCTCAAATGATAACCCTTGCAAGGCTTGTTCTCAAGGGAAGATGGTAATTAGACCATCATAAATAAAGGTTGATGATGAATCCCTATCATTTTTGCAAAGAATTCAAGGGGATATATGTGGGCCTATTCAACCACCTTGTGGACCATTTCGATATTTTATGGTTTTGGTTGATGCATCTACCCAATGGTCACATGTTTGCCTATTGTCTACTCGAAATGTAGCGTTTGCAAGATTTCTTGCTCATATAATTAAGTTGCGAGCACAATTCCCAGATTATCCCATTAAGTCAATCTGACTTGATAATGCTAGTGAATTTACGTCTCAAACCTTTGATGATTACTGCATAACACTGGGCATTAATGTTAAACACTTTGTTCTTCATGTCCATACTCAAAATGGCTTAGCAGAGGCATTTATCAAGCGGCTTTAATTAATAGCTTGCACTCTACTCATGAAAACAAAATTGCCAATGTTTGCATGGGGACATGCCATTTTACATGTTGCATCATTGGTTTGGTTGAGACTCATAGCCAACTACCAATACTCATCAATACAACTCGTGTTTGGGCATCAACCAACCATTTCACATTTACGAGTTTTTGGTTGTGCTGTTTAAGTCCCTATTACATCGCCACAACGCATTAAAATGGGATCTCAGCGCAGACTGGGAAATTATGTAGGTTTTGATTCACCATCTATCATTAGATATTTGGAATCCTTAACAGGTGATATGTTTACAGCTCGTTTTGCTGATTGTCACTTTGATGAGCTAGTATTCCCGTTGTTAAGGGGAGAAAATACCGTTCCAGAAGAACGACAAGAACTGACATGGGTTGTTCTCACTTTATCTCATTTTGGTTTATGAAGCACTCAATGTGAAGATGAAGTGAAAAGGATTGTTCATCTTCAAAGTATTGCTAATCAAATGCTAGATGCATTTAATGATGCTTCGAAAGTGACAAAGTCATATATACCAGCTGTAAATGTACCTGTAAGAATTGATGTCCCTGTTGGACAAAATAAAATGGTAGCGAATGATTCATTTGGTGCACCCTTGAAACATGGTAGACCACCATGTTCAAAAGATTCAGCCCATCGAAAGAGAAAAATGAGGGCACAGCTGAATCCAAATGAAATCATTCATGAAAAGAAAGCGAATGATAAATCCACAATTCATGATTCTAAATTTTCTGAAAAAGAAAATGTCATTGATGAGACACATGTCCCTGAAGAGACAGAAGTACATGAAAGGAAAGAAATCTCCATAAATTATGCATGTACTAATGAATTGTGGGATCGAAATGAAGTAATCATCAACGATATGTTTGTTTTCACAATAGCCATTGAAATCATATTAAGCGATGACATTGAGCCCCGCTCTGTTGATGAATGCAAACAGAGACATGATTGGCCTAAGTGGAAAGATGCAATCCAGACATTATTAAATTCCTTGGAAAGGCGAAGTGTTTTTGGACCAGTAGTCAAAACCCCGCCTGGTGTGAACCCCGTAGGTTACAAATAGGTATTCACAAGGAAACACAACGAGAAAAACGAGATTGCAAGATATAAAGTAAGACTCGTTTTACAGGGTTTTTCACAAAGACCTGGAATTGATTATGAAAAGACATTCTTTCCTGTAATGGACGCAATTACGTTTCGTTACTTAATAAGTTTAGTGGTTTCAGAGAAACTTGATATGCGACTTATGGATGTTATCACTGCGTATCTATATGGAGAATTAGATACTGACTTATGTATGAAAGTCCCAGAAGGACTTAAGTTGCATGAAACCACTGACAAACCACGAGGTATGTTCTCAATCAAATTAAGGCGATCATTAAATGGGCTGAAACAATCTGGGCGAATGTGGTATAATCGTCTCAGTGAGTATTTGATCAAAGAAGGATATGCCAACAATGTCATTGACCCTTATGTGTTCATTAAGAAATCAAATACTGGTTTTGCTATAGTAGTAGTATATGTTGATGATATGAACCTAGTTGGAACTCTTGAAGAGCTCAATAAAACTGCTGAGTATTTGAAAAACGAATTTGAAATGAAAGACCTTGGGAAAACAAAATATTGTCTCGACTTGCAGATCGAGCATTATGCTAATGGAATTTTGGTCCATCAATCAGCTTACATTGAAAAAATACTGAAGCGATTTGTCATGGACAAAGCTTATTCACTTAGCACCCCAATGGTCGTTCGTTCCTTGGACATTAAGAAAGATCAATTTTGTCCAAAAGAAGATGATGAACTGATTCTTGGTCCATAAGTACCATATTTGAGTGCAATATGTGCTTTATTGTATTTAGCACAATGCACTAGACCAGATATAGCTTTTTCAGTAAACTTGTTAGCCAGGTATAGCTCTACTCCAACAATTCATCATTGGAAGGGAGTCAAAGATGTTCTACAATATCTTCGTGGGAAAACAAACATGGGTCTTTTCTACTTAGACAAGTCCACAAATGACCATATCCTTATTGGATACACAGATACTGGTTTCTCTCCGATCTGCATAAAGTCTGCTCACAAACTGGATATGTGTTCATTAATGGAGATACATCAATTTCATGGCGTTCAACGAAGCAAACATTAGTTGCTACATCTTCCAATCACTCAGAAATAATTGCTTTACATGAAGCAAGTCGTGAATGTTCTTGGTTAAGATCAATGATCCATCACATCCGGAATTCATGTGGTCTACCTTCAAAGACAGACACTTCAACTGTCACTATTATTCATGAAGATAATGCAGCTTGTGTTGCCCAGATGAATGAAGGATTCATCAAGGGTGATAAAACTAAACACATATCTCCAAGGTTTTTCAGTGCACATGAGCTTCAGAAGGCTAAAGTTATTGAAACTAGACAAATCTGTTCCAATGAAAATTTGGTAGACTTGTTCACCAAATCTCTACCAAAGTGCACATTTCAGAAGTTAGTTTAGGGAATCGGATTACGTTGGCTTACAAATTTGAAGAAGGCGGAATCAGGGGGAGATACAATTCAAGGGGAGCATCCATGATACATGCATGTTGTACTCTTTTTCCTTCGATTATGATTTTTTCCACTGGGTTTTCCTATCAAGGTTTTAACGAGGCAACATAAGCATGCTTAACACCATATCAATAATCCGGATAAAGTTGTACTCTTTTTCTGTCGCTATGGTTTTTTCCCATTGGGTTTTTCCAAACAAGGTTTTAACGAGGCAACTGATGTTGATATGTGGGCATCCAAGGGGGAGTGTTGTAAACAGTGGGTATGTTTGCCCACATGTATACAGTAAAGATTCATATACTAAATAGTGAAATTTTTATAAGTTTTCAAGGTAGTTGCTCTATAAACAGAGCACTACAGTGTTCAAAACACACAGATACAAAAGCAATAAGAGAAGAAAGATAAGTTAGAATATTTTCAGAATTCTCCTATTTATTTTTTACCTGCAATCATTATGTTATTACACCCGCTTTGCTTTCACTCTTAGCAAAGATTATTTCTTTAACTTTTCCCTATTTATAAAATCTTATCATTTATTTCTACGACATTTGTTAACGCGCGGTAGAAACCATGTCCTCTGAATCCCCTTCATTTCTCAATTTACCAGAAATGGCTCAAGTTGACTGTTGAACTGACATAACATGTTCAGATAAATACTTAGGGTTTACAGTTGGAAGCTGGTACAATGGCGGCAAAATCAGCTCCGCCCCTTTTCCTTGAAGATTGGCTGAGGAGTGTGAGCGGCGGTGGCAGCAGCAGGAACACCTCCGCCGCCGTCTCCAGAAACTCATCCACCTCATCCGCAAGAGCCATAATTCAGGCATGGGCCGAGCTCCGCGACTGCCTCCAACACCAATCGTTCCAATCCCGCCATCTCCAGTCCCTCAAAACCCTCGCCAACTCCCAGACTTCTCTCCACGTTGCCGACCCCCCAAGCCAAGCTTCTGCTCTCCATTCTCTCCTCTCCCGACCTCTTTCTTCCTCCTCAGTCCTATCCGCTCTTCCTCCGACTGCTTTATATTTGGGTCCGGAAATCCGCCCGGCCCAATTCGGGTCTCATTGATTCGGCTGTGGAAGTTCTCTCTATTCTCTTCCTTACCCAGTATGTATCAAACAAGAGTCCTGCCCTCTTTTCTGAAGGCGTTCTCCTTCTGGGTGCCTTCTCTTTCGCTCATTCGGCCTCCGAAAGCTCGAAAAAAGATTGCTTGGGGCTGCTCTGTAGGCTGTTGGCGGAGGACTACCAGGTACTTGGGTCATTTGGTGAATTGATTCCGGACGTGCTTGCCGGAATTGGGTATGCTCTATCTTCTTCTGTGAATGTTCATTTTGTTACTGTTTTGGATTTCGTGTTGAGTGTTTGGGGTAAGGAAAGTGGACCTCCTGGCAGTGTTTGTCATGGGTTGATGATTCTGCATTTGATGGAATTGGTAATGTCTGGTTTGAGCAGTTTTCGCTCTGTCGAAAAAGTTGATACCTTTTCCCGGGAGGTTTTAGAGACCGATAAAGCAAATTATGTTCCGTTTGCTGTTGTCATGGCTGCAGCTGGAGTACTGAGGGCGTTAAGTAGATCTATAGTGAGTGGTCTTGGGATGGACACTATTTCCAGATTAAGACGGTCTGCAGAAGATCGGATAGAATCTGTAGCAAGAGAGTTAGTTTCAAGAACTATAGAGTTTACCAGCTCAGATAATGATCTCACAGATAATCTTCTGTTACAGTCTGTTTCGATAGCATTGGCTCGAACTGGTGCGGTCTCTGCTCGTGCCCCTTTGTTTATATGCCTTGCTTCTGCATTGTTGACTGAAAGCTTTCCCTTGAGACGTTTATACATGAAGGTACTTAAACCAATGCATGACAGTTCAGCTGTACCGAGGATTAATGAGGTCAGGGAACACCTGGAAAGTCTTACTTTTAAGGAAGCAGGGGCCATAACCGGTGTTTTCTGCAATCTCTATGTTTCAGTTGATGAACAGAGCCAACATATGGTGGAGAATCTTCTGTGGGATTACTGTCAACAGATATACATGGAGCACCGACAGGTGGCTTTGGTTCTTCGTGGTAAAGAGGATGAAGTACTTGGAGATTTGGAGAAAATTGCTGAATCTGCTTTTCTTATGGTTGTACTTTTTGCATTGACCGTCACAAAGCACAAGTTGAATTCAAAATTCAGTCAAGAAACTCAAATGGATACATCAGTACGAATACTTATTTCGTTTTCTTGTCTCGAGTATTTCCGCCGCATTCGTTTGCCAGAATACATGGATACAATTCGAGGTATTGTTGTGAGTGTCCAGGAAAGTGATTCTGCTTGTGTATCTTTTGTAAGATCCATGCCCACTTATGGTGACTTGACGAACGGCCCAGGTATGCTTTAGTTGCCGTCTTAGCTCTAAATTTCATATAACATTTGACTTTTCTGGAATGAGGTCTTTAGTTTTGTCACCCTCTCATTTTTGTTATGATACTTTGATTTGATAGATTTCTAATGTTGCTTATCAGACTTTTCTTTCCTGCGAAAGATGGAATATGTGTGGACCAAGGATGAGGTTCAAACTGCTCGCGTTCTGTTTTACCTACGGGTCATACCAACTTGCATTGCACGTTTGCCTAGCCCTGTATTTGGGGATGTGGTTGCTCCAACTATGTTCTTGTATCCTATGCCGAAGAACTTGATCTTTATGAACTTATATAGAATATAATGAATAATTTAACTCCTTATTACAAATTTAATCAGATATATGGGTCATCCTAACGGAAAAGTACCTCGAGCCTCACATTCTATGTTTTCTGCATTCATATCTTCGGGGAAGGATTCTGATCAGGATGAAAGAGAGTTATTAAAGGAGAAGCTTGTTTTCTACTACATGCAAAGATCACTAAAGGTATGTTAAGCAGAAAGTGACTATATTGGTTAAACTTGCGCTTCATCGATTAAGGGTACCAACAGCAAGATTTCTCTGTAAAATGAGCACAGGAATATCCCGAAATTACCCCTTTTGAGGGAATGGCTTCTGGAGTTGCAGCCTTGGTTCGACATCTTCCTGCTGGAAGCCCACCCATATTTTATTGTATACATTGTCTTGTCGAGAAAGCTAAAAGGCTTTGCATTGAAGACTTCGCTCACCAGGCTGATATGTGGAAGAACTGGCAAGGAGAGTCAGAGCCTGGCAAGAAAATCCTAGACTTACTTTTACGGCTGATTTCCCTAGTTGATATACAGGTAAGCTAATATTTTGCTTCTTTTTCTTCATATGGTTGGTTTCCATCAGAAATTTTACTACGTTTTTTCTCTTTATTTTGTGTTCTGCACGTGGAATCTGGTTTCAAGCCCTAGTTTGTTTGCATAACACTTGATATAGAAGTAATTTAGTGACATCATTAAAATTCGAGAGAGAGTCAGTTCCAATGTACCATGAGCATCAGTTTTGATGTTTGAATAAAGGTGTTATGCCTTCTTTTCTCTCAACTTTGGTGTCTAAACTTACTGAACATTAAGATTACTTGTTCAGGTACTACCGGACTTGATGAAGCAGTTGGCACAGCTAATAGCCCAACTACCAAAGGATGGCCAGAATATGATTCTAAATGAGTTATATTCACAGGTTGCAGAATCTGACGATGTTACTCGCAAGCCTACTTTAGTTTCTTGGCTGCAATCATTGTCTTACCTTTGTTTTCAAGAAACAAGTGGGAGTGCAGCATCCAGAAAGGTTGTAACTGAAGCAAAAATCACTTCCAAGCAGACTCCAGACCTATCACGTGAGACTAGCCTAAATGCTCGATTATGAGATTGAGGTGCAGTAAGCAAGATTACTCACCCTCCTTATGAATGTTTTTTTTCTTTTTTTCTTTTTGATTTTGGTAGCTTGACTATATTTTGCATTTGGTTTCACTATGTCTGATTATGGAATAATGAAAAATCTATCATAATTAATTACTCATGAAACGCATGGGTTTTTTAGTTTCTCAATAATGCAAATAATTAAATGTACCACTTGGTATAATTTATTAATCATGAGACTATATAACTTTCATCTGTAGTTCCTATATTCTCTTGTAATGTTGGAATTGATTCACAGGGCATTTCATGAAAAGAGAAAGTCTCACTTTTTTTTACTTTAATCAAAGCACACTGATCTCTGTTGCATTGATATTTGGATCCTCCTCCTGGAATTTCAGTTTGCCCTTGTAAGATTAGGTGTCCATCTTGCTTTCTGTTCTTTCAGATGAGTGCTGACTGCATGACTTGTGAAGTTGCTACTTTGGTACCGTTAAAAGTTCAATTATCATCTGGGTTTGTTCAAACTGTTCATTCATGTAGAAGGACTGGGTTAGCCAATGGATTTCATACAACAAATTAGCTGGCGAAGATAAACTCTTGAATTATGTTGGGTGATATAATGGCATTGTCGATTATCCGGAAATTGGTCATAGGGTATTTGATTCAAGGCACTTGGGGTGGTAGACTACCGTGCTGTGTGAGATTAGTTTGAATGCAATGGAAGGAATTGAGTTTTTCCCTTTCTTCGAAAAGTTGAAGTGTTATAGGTGTTGATCGACCAATAAATCTTATGCTGTTTGAAGTTTGTTCAGTGCGTTAGGGTTTTGCGCTGTGAATCAGGAAAACACAGGTGAACTTGAGGAGGCTGGCTTCGACCATTGATTTGTTTAAAGAAGACAATTGTGTTACAAGCTGCTCCTCGCCAACGTAACTAGGAAAACTTGTACATGTATGACCTTTTGCAGAGACGATCTTTCAATGATGTCCAGATTTTGAGAAATATTGTTGAACAATACTTCGTAGCTGGCCCAAAACGAATAAAAGTTTCCTTGTACAATTAGACTAGGAATTCTAGAAGTCTAAGTGGAACAAGTAAGAAAATGTATTTTCCCATTCCATACAGAATAGGAAACTTAATCAGAAAATAGGCATGTAAACCACAACTGGACGTAACTAGTATAAATCTTGTGTGTTTCTAGTTTTCTTTATTTTGCAAAGTTTTAGTCTATTACCGAATACATCAAAGAGCAAGATTCCGAGGGAGTCAGAATTATAACAATAAGTGCTTGAGGTTAATTATTGGCATGCTAAAAATCGAAAATAGTAGCCAGTCCCGAAATGATCAAGCGAAATTTGTAGGCCGAGGCCGATGAAACAATAAAATTGGGCCTATATATCTTTTAGATAAGAATTGGTGGGCCTAAAACAGAGAGATTTTTTGGTACCAAGTTATAATACCAATAGTTGAATATTTTAAAAAATAATTTCCTTCACTTGTATTATGATACTTGATGTACTGAGTTGTGTTTAAGCACACAAGAAAATTTTCCTTAAAACGGGTGATGTATAATTTACTGAACCACCAAATTTTCAAATCCTGCGTAACTAATTCCTTGTAGCGTAAGGCACAAAAGCACAGAAAGTAACGGCCATAAAAATAGGGGTGTGCTATCCACACATCCCATTTTACTTCTCACACACCCCTTGATAATTTCTGTCCGTTGATATTCTTCAATTCATCCGATCGGACGGCTGAAAAATAAAAATGTGTGTGAGAAGTAAAATAGGGTGTGTGGATATCACATCTCAAATAAAATCATATACGAAATGGTTAATAGTTCCATTTCTCTGGAGGATTTCTCGTCTTCTCCTATCAATGTCCGTAAACTTCCTTCCCCTCTATATTCTCCACACTAATTTCCAATAAAAGAATTCAACAATCATTTTCACCAAGCTATAAACTGGTTGATCAAAGGTTGCTTACGATTAGCATTCAATTCGACCAACATTATGGGCGTTTACAGATCATGCACTTCCGCCATGCCTTGTTTTACCGGCGACAATCATCGTTATGGGCGTAGCATTCTCGACATATTCATCGGCGATTTGCAATAAGCCTGGAGAAGTGAGAGAGGGTTTGGTGGCCTTTGCCCTAATACTACTTGTACTCGCTGCACTGCATGTCGTGGAACCCATTGCCTGTAATAAATCAGTTGGCTATAACAAGGATGAATATTGGAAGAAGTTGCTGCAGCACTTGCGTTTGGTTGCTCTGATTGTTGTGCTTTTCTTTTTGGGGTATCAGCAGTCTAAAATCCATACCAACAACTGGCTTTGGGGGATTTAAACCGTCAAGGTTTTTTTGTCTTTGTAATTGATTTTCTATTTGCATGGGATATTTGTTGTACAGATTCCTTGATATTATTGTAACTTGTAATTACGGTGACTGGAAAATGTTTCTCCATGTATAACATGCACTAGAGTAACAACTCATTCCTAATTTTACGATTTTATTAATTTTAAAAGAGTGAATTAACGAAAATGCACCTAGTGGTGAGATTGTTGACTTTCATTGACTATCATTTCATGACACATACGAGTTATTATTCTACCGTATTCTCGAAGTACTCGGCAGTACGAATGCGTAGGCACAAGTGGAATCGAATTAGGAGTTACCTTCGATGGTATATTTCTTATTCTACATTTACTGTACTTTATTTATGCTTTGATATCACTGTGAAATGAGTTCATTTCCACTCACATATGCACTCTTGCATTTAAACACTTTTAGGTTTAAATTTACTCATATTTTTCACATCACTACATTTTATGGATTTATCACCTTATTGGTATTGGCCATGTTTGCTCCCTAATTCCGCCATGGTGCCTTGCGGGCAAGTCGGGGATTTACTGCACATACGAGATTGGTGGGTGCGGGCGTGCCACTACTAGATGCCGCTAGTAGACGGGATTTGAATGATTGAGGTTGCGCCTTTTGACTTCAAATCAAGAGATTGTGCCATTTGAGTGGGAGTTGCTCAAATTAAGGTTCTTTGTTTGCCTTAAAAATAAGGACTTTACTTATATGGAGAGATAGAACAATATGTAAATGACAAGGTTGCTTGGAAATATAAATGACAGAGGAAAGTGACTAATATTGCAGATTGCTTGGAATTTATATGACTGGAAATGAGTACATAAAAGCTACAAATGAGATCGATACCGCAAGTGAGCAGCAGAGCTAATAAACTAGATAAAAGAAGGCTTTTGGCAAATCTGGTTTGAGCAGAGTTTGTGCTTTTGTTTGTTTGTTTGAGTGTCCATAATCCTTGTGCATCTGCTCCTTTTTATAGAGGTCTGGAGGAAACCCTCATGCTGAGGTTTTGTACTTGCCCGAAAGAAGCTTGGGCAGCTTACATTTCCTTACTTGGGTAGCTTGCATTGCTTTTGCCAACTTGCATGTAGAAACAATATTAAAGGAGAAATTGCATCTCCACCACATGTTTTTAGCACATGTTTTCCCACTTGTGATAAACTAACATTTAAAAAAAACAAGTTGGCTAGTTGGCTTCTTTCATCACACATTCTTGCCCGAAAGCATGCATGGTGTCTTTCCACCCACTTGCATGAAAAAGCATGCACTTATCTTGATTAAACAATTCTCTTGGCAAACCTCCACCACCCAAACAAATGGGAGAAACAATATTATAGTGCCAAACCCCTCCACTTGAAGCCAAATATCTTTCCAAATTTAGCTTTCTTGCATATTAATCCTCCAAATGCCATATTTTACCCAAATTGCCCAAATAAGTAAAAATGGGTATATTTTGAATGCAAACAGGCCAACACAGCTCGATTCGGAGTCTAGGTAGACATTCTGGGTCGGGTGTGTCCCTAGTGTTTGAGATGCCAACATAACAGTTAATTGTATGAGTTTTTTTTTTCCTTATCTAATTCTTGAATTTTGTTTGTCATCCCTCAGTATTGTTTGTATAAGAAAATGTATCGGTCTTTAGTTCCTTTTTTCAATCGGGCGATTTGGTAGGATGCGCTAGCTTGAGATCTAAACGTGTGCATCTGGGTCTGTATTTTAGCATTTTATGAAAATTCTCTTAGAAGGAAATTGTAGCAGTAGTTTCTCAACTTTAACTCAATTAGAGCAATGATCCCTTAACTAAAAATCCATGATTATTGGTCCCTTAACTTATCATAACATGCGATTATGATCATTTTCGTCAACTCCGTTAGAACTTCTGTCAAGATGAGTCACGTGCCATGCACGTGAGGCTAAATCAAGGGGTTAATATGGAAAATCAAATGAGAAAAATTGTAGCAATAGTCTCTTAACTTTAACCCAATTGGAGAAATGATCTCTCAACTTTAACCCAATTGGAGCAATGATCCCTCAATTTTAGTCCAATTGGAGCAATAGTCATTCCAACATGACTCATTTTGACAAAATTATGATAGAGTTGATGAAAATGACCATAGCTGCACGTTTTGATGAGTTAAAGGATCAATGATCATGAATTTTTAGTTAAGGGACCATTGCTCCAATTGGGTTAAAGTTGAGGGATCATTGCCATAATTTTCTTTTCTCCTAATGTTACATGCATTCCTTCTATACTTTCAGTTTCCAGGATTCCAGAGTTAAAAGCCATTTCCATGAATAAGAATTGGAATTGGAAATGCTTTAATAAAAAAACTGAAAACACTTTTGATAAAAATATTTTTGGAACCAATCCTTAATAAAAATACAAGTGAATTTTGAAAAAGCACTTGATCAAGTGCTTTGTGAAAGAAGCACAAGTCATGTGCTTCTTTCCAAAATATTTTTGAAACCCAACAACATTTTAAATGCACTTTCAAATAAGCCCTGGTTACCGGCATGCAGTATTCTGTGGAAATAATTCTGCCTTTCATAGACGTTTCTTTAACTTCAATTATACAACAATTGTGGGTTATCTACAAATAAATACATTGAAAAGGTTGACATGATCCTGGTAAGTCAACGGTTCCATTGAAAAGAAAAGCAATTAAGAGCAGTACCATAGCAGATACGGACGATGACAAAAACTCTTATCCTTTTAACTATGACCGAATTCAAGTGAAGAGCCACGAAACTTGAAGGAAGAATAAATTGTTCGAGGCATTGTTTAAAAACAATTTGATTGTTTGTTGTAGCCTTTTTGGCGAGATTAGCGATCGAGGTAGGCAGTGGCAGGTCCTGG